ATTTAAAAAATGTAAACTCGTGAAATTGCTATTGCTGCAAAGCTGACTGCTAAGACACGCGTTAACCGTTTCACATACAGACTTTGAAACGGTTACAGTCTTACAGCGCTGACGTACATACTGTAACAATTCGCAGCACCACAGCCTCGATGGCGCCAATTCAAAATGAAGTTAAAAATTCAATAGGCAATGTAATTCATTTGTCCTTCTAATTAAATATGAAATAGGCAATGCCAATTCTTGTAGTTCTGCATTTAGAAATGTTATATTAACATATATGTAAATATATTGAAGCAATTACTCATTTCAATATCGGGCCGATGCAACAATCAGAACATCGCCCAGTGCTTGTTTGAGGCGAAAGAAATTGATCTTGACTTGGAATGTCAGGGCAGGCATAGCCATGGGAATATTTTCCAGACTAATTGTATGGTTGCGTACCTCGTAGAGTTTGTTCTGTAAGGAGATTTTATTTATTCTATTATATATACTATAATATTTAGATTAGTTGCACAGAACTTACGGGTTGAATGGGACATGCCCTGGGCAAATTGCTGGCTTTGAAAAGTGTCTCAAAGATGCCGCCTTGGAATTTCTTCTTACACGCTGAGCTCAGGTACTCGCAGCCATCGAGCTTGACATGCTGTATGTTTATCTTAGAGTTATCCTTTTTGATAATGTCAAAATCGACCATCAGGCTGAACTGCTGAATCGCTTCGCTCAGACTGAAGCTTGCACTCAGCATTGCCTCGCCGCTCTTCCTGTTGCTGCTGCAGCTCAAAACGGGCAACAGCGAAGGAACAAAACACGCACAGCTAAAATTCCTGATTTGAATTATAACTGGGCGTCGCTGTAACAGAAATTGATTAGCAAAGAGAGGAGAGAGAGATGGAGGGAGGGAGAGCGGAGTCTTACCTTAGCCTGGCTGGTGGCCAGTAGAGCGACCACTACCAGCAACCAGAGCCAAATCTGCGTTTTCATGATTATTTCGAAAAAATTCAAGGGAAATTGCGCGTTTTATACCAATAAATTTAATGAACTTTTAATTTGTTTTGGCTGCAAATACCACAAAATGGATTAATTTGTCGCGCATTTTTGGGCTTTTTTGATTTCTAGATTATATATATTTGTTG